CCCCTGCGGGGAGTGGGCGCTGCTGGGCCCCGCCGTGCAGCGGGCCCGGCCCTAGAAACTTCGTGCTTTAGCGTGGAGCGCGTTCCTGTGGGAATGGGAAGGCGTCTTCCTGGAGGCCCGGTCTGGGTGCGCGGCCCAGCGCCCGGTTAACCGGCGTCTCCCTTCTCTGTCTGTTTCCATTTCCAGGTGCGGGAACGTGAACTTTGCCAGAAGAACCAGCTGTAACAGATGCGGAAGAGGTGAGTATCTTAGAGGAGATCTCTTTCTCTCCTCGCCTGTTTAAAAGACAAGAATCTTTAATCTCTTTAATTAAAGGCAAGGTGTTTGAGAACTCAGATTTTTGTTTTTCTCTTCCAGAAAAAACGACAGAAGCTAAAATGATGAAAGCTGGAGGGACTGAAATAGGGAAGACGCTTGCTGAAAAGAGCCGCGGCCTTTTCAGTGCCAACGACTGGCAGTGTAAAACGTACGCCCTTTAAACACATGCCGTGTTCTCTTCGAGGCGCGCAGCACATCTGCAGCACGATGCCGGGGTTTGTCAGGAGATGTTTAGTTGTACCAATGAGAGAAGAGTGATAACTCGCAGCTGCCCCACTAGCAGTGTTTTGCTGTGAGAACAGCATTCGTTGTTGTTCACTGGACAGCAGTTACTTAAGTAACATGACTGAAAAAAGGTTTAAAAAAGTCAAGACCGGACAGGTAAAAGTTCATGTTTTTCTTTGATAAGCCAGGACACTTCCCAGGCTCAGAAGAACCTTGTGGATGGAAGTAACATCTTCATTGCAGTGTGACATTTTGTTGTTAACTTTCACTAAATATTAACGAGTGAAGTTTAGCACATAGTTAAATTCTTAGATGTTTCTCCAAGCCATCAGCTGAGAATATGAAGGCCTGAATTAGGAAAAGACTACTTCAATAAAATGCTTTGGTTTTCGAAAGGTGCTTTCAGATTTTCTGGCGCACTTCTAGGGATTTCGGGTTTTGCCAACTGAGTAAGCATTCTGACCAGTGAAACCTGGATTTTTTTGGTTCTTTTCTGTCAGACCATAGCTGTGTGAAGCCAGATGGGTTTCTGCTGTGCTGTTCGGCAGCACGAGCGCCGTGGGTCCCCGTGTCTGAGGGAATCCACCTGATGGCTCCTCTCAGGATTGTCGCGTCTTGCCCAGTTCATGGCGGCTGGGCTGTGTCTTACAGACCTCCTGCTGTCCCTAACGGCAGTGCTGCAGATAGATGCAGTATGAGTGGCCTTTCAGGGCACTGTGAGATAGAAATGCAGTGGTGGAAGCACGTAGCGTCAGTGGGTGATGGTGACCGCTCATAAGCGTTATTCCCGTGGTGGCTTCTTCATGAATTGCCCTGACCTGTGAATGCCACCAGTGGAGAGTCATGAGGAGCAGCAACGCTCTTTGTGTGGCCTTACTTCTGGTGACTTGTATGCCTGCCTGGCGGTTAATTTTATTTCTTTCCCATTGATTTGTTGTCTGATGTGGCCCTCGACCCACCATCCTCGTGCTGGTGAAATGCCTGTGGGCGCCTGCTCTTCTCTGCGTCTTGGTGCCTGCTGGCCTTGGGGTAGTGGTGTTGTACTGGTGACCGCAGCTCACTGCGAAGACTGGGCAAATACATTTTCGTGCTTTGTCTTTTTTTAAGTGACATTTCAACACTTAAGCGTTTTGATTTGAAAATTTCTTATTTTTGTTTTTTTCTTTTTACCTCTGAAGATGTGGTAATGTGAACTGGGCCAGAAGATCGGAGTGCAACATGTGTAATACCCCAAAGTACGCGAAATTGGAGGAAAGGACAGGTAAGATGTATATGGTTTTAAAATAAACTACTGTAAGAAAACTGATTTTTATAAATTGCAATCTAATCTAATTAAAGGGATAGTAATTTAATTGAAGGGATTGTTTTCACAGCAGAACTAGCAAAGCTGAATGATCTTCCATATGTAAATAGATATTACTTTAGTAGTGTGTAAAGTATGTGATAGTTTCATCTGCAAAGTCAATGAATATTCAGCTTAAACTGCCTCTGTATGTGGTTTTGATATGAAGATATTTGGAAGGAGTAATGCAATGTTTTATTAAACTCCAGAAGATCGAGCGTATCCGTAGTGCCAACCTACAGAGGGCTCAGCAGTCACAAGAGCAGTGTGTGAAGGCTGAATCGATTAGACCGTTATCTCTTGATGAGGTTTGGGGTTTGGTCACGCTGTGAGGCAGTTGAAGTTCCTCCTGCATTAACGATGAACCCAGTGGTAACCAGAACAGAGGATGTCCTCGCAGTGCGGTTGTAACTGTGATGCTGTTACCACTGCAGGTGGGATCAGGCAGAGAATTTAATGCATGGAGCGTAACACTGATGCCTGTAAAAAAAGAAGCGTGCAGAAGAGCACAGTGTTTATTATTCAAAAGGAAAAAGAGTGTTTTCAATAGTATTATTTAATATGACAAGATTATTAAAGAATAATATTTACTTGTATTTCTTGTTTATAATTAAATATTTTTAGTATTTATTTATTTTTAAGTTCTGGTGTCCCTCAGAGGAAATTTACAATCTGTCCTGGTTTCAGCTGGGATGGAGTTAATTTCCTTCCCAGTAGCTGCTTTGTTTTGGATTTAGTACCAGAAGAATGTTGGTAACACTGATGTTTTTAGGTGTTGCTACGAAATGAGGGACTTTTTTCAGTTTCTCGTGTTCAGCTAGCGGCGGGTGTGCGGGAGCTGGGAGGGAGCGCAGCCAGGCAGCTAGCCCAAGCTGGCCGATGGAAATATTCCATACC